TCCCCACCCTCCTTCTGTGACCATCAGTCATTCTTCAAGGTCAAGCTCAAAAATCCCTGTTTGGTAACACAAGCTCCTTCCTCTATTGATATAATCATAGAATTAAAAGTAGAAAACAGGATGCCCATATAAGAGGTAATTTCTTTAAAGAATTAATGACCAAATGTTAATTTCACTATCATAATATTTAGAAGAGCGAGCCAATTTCTGTCCCCTTCTTAAAGTTCTCACATAATAATTTTCAACACTTAGGAATGAGTGCTGGCTAATTTTGCCTGCAGCTAGTTCATAGAAAATAGAAAAACTAAGTGCTTCCTGAGAAACTTGTGATAATTATACATTTAACTTTTTTATTTCAGAAACACCTTGGCAAAAGCACAGAATGAAGTGATTCTCTAGTTACACGCATTTATAATCATGGCACTTACCAGTTTAAATAAATATTAGAAATGACTACTCAGAAAGCTCTAAGCCCCTTCAATTTGTAACAAGACATACCAGCAACAAAAGCTTTATTCTATCAAATTCATGTCTTTCTCCACGCAGGACTACTTCAAAGTAGCTTTCCCATTTTGGCATTTATGTATAAAAAAGGATGCAGCATTCTAGAACTGGAGAAGCAATGTTGTTTAGCAAAAAGAATGACTCAATAGGCAACTTGGATTCTAACTCAGATTTTATCACTGTCTCTCCTTAGCTTTGGTCCCAGGAATGACAGATGAGGTACATGAAACATTTTTAAAACATTTTAAAAAAGGAAATCTGTATGTCACTCCAGGGTTTGGTCGTTATTGTTATAACAAGAGGAGGAAATTGCAGACTTAGGTTTACATGAAGTAAACTGCAGTTTCCTCTGTACATGTTGTGTGTTCTGAGTTTTCACGAGCAAGAGCAGATGACGGCTGTTGAAAAGAGAAGAAGGGCAGGAAAAATGAAACTGCTTCACCCACCTCAGGGACACTGTAAACTCAATATGCAGGCAAAGGTATAGATACATGGAACGCTTGAAAGAGTAATATTATCTACCAGATGGCTCTTACTCCTAAAAAATTATTGTAAAAAGTGTAAGTATCTAGTGTCGAATAACCCATTTAGTGGAACACCACGTTGAATATGGAAACAACTTAAGTGTCCATCAATAGATGACTGGATAAATAAGATGTGGTATGTATATACAATAGAATATCACTTGGCAAAAAAAAAAAAAAAAAAAGAATAAAATCTTACCATCTGTGACAACATGGATAGACCTAGAGGATATTATGCTAAGTGAAATGAGTCAGACACAGAAAGACAACAAAATGATTTCATTTATGTGTGGAATCTAAAGAATAAAATAAACAAGCAAACAAAACAGCAAGAGACTCAAAGATACAGAGAACAGACTGATGGTTGCCAGATGGAAGGGGGGTTGGGAGGCTGGGTGAAAAAGGTGAAGGGATTAAGAAGTAAAAATGGGTAGTTACAAAATAATCATGGAGATGTAAAGTACAGCATAGGAAATACAGTCAATAATACTAGAAATAACTATCTATGGTGCCAAGTGGGTACTAGACTTAACAGGGGAGACCACTTCATAAATTATATAAATATCTAACCACTATGCTGTATACCTGAAACTAATATAAAATATTATTGAATGTCAACTGTAATTGAAGAATAAAAAAAGAAAAAATTAAAACATTAAAAAAAAAGAAAAAAGAAAGAAATATTAGCTCTGAGAATTGATTAGTTCAACTGATGTCATCCTGTAGGAGGGGAATGGCTGAGTTTGTATTTATCACTAAGGAAGAAAAATCTTTAACATTCACCTTTCCTTACTCTCAGCTTCATCAGGAAAAGCTTAGGTAGGAAAGGCCATAATTCCGATGTTGATTTATACAGCATCTTTCCTCTCAGAAGCACAGACACTTCGGAGCTGTGAATGCATCCACGTTATGACATTCACACAAGAAGTAAAAAACCTTACTGTCCCATTTTACAATCTTAAAATGAAAGTTTGGAGATAGATAACCATAAGCAAAGCTGCGAACCTCCTACCATTAAATTTCTGTCTCATGTGAAAAGTCTTTATAAGCATCAGCACCAAATTCAGATTTCTATTATTATTCATTTGGAGGGTATTATATTCTCATTAGCTATGACTACAGTATTCCAGATTGAATATATAAGGTGAACACAACACAGTTCCCTTTTTAATAAGCATAATGTTGTTTGTGGCCTAAGGCTGATGATGTCTAGACTTGGTGAAGAGGTACTCTACTGTTTGTTTGATTTCAAAAGATCTTGCCCTATGCTCAGGTTGTTGCTGGCCCATTGGATCGAATATGAGATCCGTTGTAAAATATATCATTCATTTTAAGGAGCACTAGGAAAGAAAAATGCCCACAATTAAACTATGACACGGTTTCAAATCATCAATCGTTAAAAGATTCATCGTGATTTCAGAGATGCTAAAAGGTGGGGAAAATGTGCATCTTGAAATCAATAACATATGGCATATGAAAACTGTTGCTCTTCTAACTAAAATGAATCAAAAGAAATATTGTTTTGAGAAATTCAAGCCATGTGCTGGGATATTCAAATATGCTAAAACAAGCAGAGGTTAGGAGTCAGTCTTGGATATAGTCAAACTTTAGGGTGCTTTTGACAACTTAAATAAGTCCCTAAACTTTTCAATAGTACGTAGCAAGGTGAAGGCTCCTGAGACCTCCATTTGCACTTAAAGTCAATAGACACCCCCAAAATAGTTCAGTTACAAAGCTTGCCAAGTCATTCTCCCCCTTGAGACACTGTTAAGATTTGATGTGGCACCATTAGAGATGTTACAGGATTAAACCGAATAGCCTGCCATCCTTGAACATCTCATCTCCTCTCCTGCTCAGTAACACCCTGGCATTTGTATTGATGGCCTTGGATCTGAAAACCCATGGAGCAATTTTTCCCCCTTGAAAAGGGATGAAAATAAAATTCCAAGAAAGAATTAAAGTCACAGAAAGACATGTTTATAAACACCGAGAAACTGTCCCCTTCATGAGCAACCCTGGCTAGGTCACCGAGAGTGAAGTCTTACAAACAACAACAAAAAGCCAATGGACAGCAATGCAGCAGA